TTTTTGTTGAAATTTTGGTTTTGAAAAGTTGGTCTGGGGGATCGTCGGAAAGAGTTGGTCCTTTGCTCGTCGTAGATATGAACACTTAATAAAATAAACTAAATATTAAATTTTGTTATATATAACATACATATGGGTTAAAAAAAAAAAAAATTTTAATCTCTTGAACTTTTAAACCTATTTACTATACCTCACAAGAACTATAAGTTTGTTAGTAACTGTATAAAAATTTTAAACCAACATTCATTAGTAATTAAACAAATAAAGAAATCAAACCTTTCACGACTCAATTAAGCTATGAAATTCCAAAACAAAGTCCTTTGGACTTGAAAGAAAATTGTGGTAATAATGGCCAACATGTAGCTAGAAATAGCTTCTCAAGCATGACTTATTCATGGTAAGGCTTTAATCATTTAATATTATACAGGCAGTGTTGGCATTGGACATATGTCCAATGCCAGCACCATATACAATGTTTTTATAAAGACTAATAGCCGTTTCTGATATTTTAAGAACCAGAACCCGAATACACATTGGACTCTGAGATCTCATCTGAATCTGAAGCTTTATAGGAACCTGAAGCCTCATTGGACCTGAGTTCCCATTGGAACTTGAATCACCATTAGAACCTAAATCTCCACTAGAACCTAAATCTCAACTGGAACCTGAATCTTCACTGGAATCTGAATCCCCATTAGAATCAAATAACAAACTTTTTCAGCATGGTCAGGATTATGTCTCTCTTGAGGCCTTTAAATATATTTCTGATCAATACACTGAAGCAAGCGGATTTAAAGTGATTTTCTTAAAGAGTAACAATCGTAGTGATGGCTTGTGTACTACTCAAGTTTTTGCTTGCGATTGCTCTAGTGTGTACAAATTTAGAAAAGATCTGAATAAGAAAGGCAAAAATAAAGTATCAAAAAAATACAACTGCCCCTGGTCTGTTCATCTTAATCATAACCCAGAAGATGACAAATATTATATCTCTCAAGTCGATCTACAACATAATCATCAACTTATTCTGCCCCAACTTATGTATATTTCAGTTGGGGAATATACCAAATTTTGGACACTGTTGATCGCACCTTTTATAGCGATAAAGATGTCAATCAATGATTCTAGAATTATCTAATACGATATATTCAAAAATTCGAATTTCATAT